GAAACGCAGACTCCCAACTCCTCACAGGTGGAGGTGGAAGAAAAAAAGCCGGAGATCATCGTGAAAGAGAAGAAGGAAGTGAAGCGCAGTAAGAGCTGGGGGCGGAGATCCACCCGGACAAAGAAAAACATCAGTTACAGGTGGGGACACCAGCCTGGTGGTAGTCTGGATCTGTGTTTTCTCCTCCCAGCCGATGGGGACAAGCCTAATACCCGTAGTATGACCGGCTGTAACTGAGCTGTAAATGTTTCAAAAAGAGGGGGAAGGTGGCATATTCTGTTTAAAAAGCTAAACATGATGCTGGTGGAACCATTCCTGAATTCATGGTCCACGTTTCAGCTGTAAAATAGTGAAATGCTCGTTTTGCAGATGTGTCCCCATCACATGAACGCAGACACTTGCACTGCCATGAAATAGTGTTGGGACGTAGCTTCAAAGGCCCTGGGAGGCAGAATGACTCATCTTTGGATTCATTCCACAGATTTGATGAATTCGACGAGGCTATTGAAGAGGCCATAGAGGAAGACATCAAGGAAGCAGAAGGTGGTGGTAAGAAACTCCTCTAAGGAAAAACTGCCCAGCTCACTCTTTGAGTACAAGTGATCATTTCATAGCTTATTATGTGTTTTTTAGGGAAGCTTTTAGTTGTCTTTACTCAGCGTGTTCGAACCATACAGGGGCTGGCCGTGGCAAAGACATGGCCAACATCACCGGCCACCGAGGGAAGGACATCTCCACCATCCTCCAGGCAGAAGAGGGCCAGGAGAACGGCGTGCTGCCCCGGCCCAGCGCCGGCCAGCGCAGGAAGAAGCGCCGGCGGCTCAACGACCTGGACAGCGACAGCACGGTGGACGAGGAGGAGAGCGAGGACGCGGACCCTCACCCTGACCCTGACCCTGACCCTGACCCTGACCCTTACCCTTAACCTGACCCTGACCCTGACCCTAACCCTAACCCCTAAACCTGACCCTGACCCTAAACCTGATCTTAACCCTGACCCTAAACCTGACCCTAACCCTAACCCTAAACCTGACCCTAACCCTGACCCTGACCCTAACCCCCCCACGTCCTGTGCTTCCTGGTGTTCCTCTGTGCTGACCCCTCCTTTGTGCTGCAGCTCAGAGGAGGACTTTGTGGCCTCGGACAATGAGTCTGAGGCCGAGACGGAGGCCGAGTCCGGCAGCAACGCCAGCGGCAAACGCCAGACCTCCTCCTGGACCCGGAGGCCCCCCAAGCAAAGGAGGAGCTCCAGAAAGCGCCGGAGACCACGAGGGTACTCGGACGAGGAGGAGACGGATGAGGAGGACGAGGAGGATGAAATCGGTACATAAACTGTGGTGGTTCAGCTTTTTCTGCATTAACACGTGGAGCTGTGGACAATTTTCCAACCAACAGAATCTAACTTTATTTCTATAAGAACAGCAAAAAATCCAAACAAAGGCATGAGGACATCATAGCAGACAGGGTCCACCTCTGTGAGGGGCTGAGGCTCTGTGTGAGGGACACCACAATCCTGTTTCCATCTCCTTCTCTCATTCCACTTCATTATCGCCCAGGCAAAACTACACTCGCATTTTAGAGAATATGTCCTTTGTTTCATACTATGAATTTGCCTGATGATTTTTTTTTCTATTTGCCAATCAATAGCGGTTCTTTTTTTTTCCGTTTTTTTGCTTATAATTTTTGAAATACTAGCTAGTAATATCTGCAGCAAAGGTCTCTCCCCTCTCTGAAGGTCCCCCAATGCACAGGTAAATAAACAGCAAAGTAAAGGAAACCTGTGCTCCAGTAATGGATCTGATTGCAGGCATAACAACCCCCCAGTAGGGGGGGCCAGCAGGACACTCCCGGGGAAGGTGGACATGTCCCACTCAGTCCCCAACAATGCCCAGCTCAGCTTTTCACTGACGGCTTTATTTTGGGAGTAATGAAAATCTCAAATGATTTTTCCAGAAATCAAACAGGACTTTGCTGAATCCAAATGCTTCACACGTGCTAGCAAAAGATTAGGTCAGTGCTAACGCTGCCTTTAACACAGCTGATGCCTCCGGCACAGCTCAAGTCTGTAGGGATCTGAGAGTTATTGAAAAAGTCCTGTGATACTTCAGAGTCATGGTGCAGTTTGCAGAGCGGGTTAAAGTGTGTTAGCTGGACCTTTGAGCCTGCTGGTTGTGGTTTTGTGCTCAGTGACGGAGGGCTCCAGTGAGTTCAGCGACAGCGACCTGGACATGAGCCGGCGGCGCTCGCGGCGGAGCCTCAGGCAGAAGGTCAACTACTGCGAGACGTCCGAGTCGGAGGGCTCTCACGCTGGAAGCAACCGGCCCAAAATAAAAGCCAGGCCGCGGCTGGACAGCTCAGAGAGCGACGGTCAGTCTCACCACACTGCTCTCACAGACCAGGCTCTGCCCGGGTTCCTTCTCCCTCCAGGTGCTTCACCGTGAGTAGGTCAGCAGGGGAGGCGCCCCCCCACTTTAGTGGGGTCAGGATAATATCTAATCAGAAAGCGTCTGGTAGTCTGTGAGCTGAGAGCCTGAAGTTGTTCCCACCACTTCTCTCTTTCCTCCATGTGAAGCGGGCCTTCTGTCAGGTCCTCTGTAGACCCGTCGGAGAGGTTCTGAACTAAATCCAGCCCTCACAGTGGTTAGGACAGCCAGAACAGCACATGGAAGCTTTAACCTGCTGGCTCATTCTGTCAGAAAGTCAGGAGGGAGGGAGTACATCCCTCAAATCTGGCCTGCTATTGGCTGGGATTCTGAGGGCAAAAAGAGGAAGTCAGGGTCAGAGTCATCAGGAAGAAGCCCGAGTAACGGAGGCCTCAGAGTGGAGGGCTGGTGAGCGTGGATGCTCTGGTAAAGTCACTGAAGCTTCACCAGAGTACGCACAACAATGAGCTGCTCTCACAGAGGCAGTGCTGGCCAGAGTTGAGCCTTTTTAGCTTTCTGTCATCAGAGCAGTGGACCAGCGGTGATGGGGACGCGGTTCTGTCCTGGTTTCTGCACAGCAGAGGGATCCAGGCTCAGAACCGTCAGTCCGAGCCGTTGGTGGGCATCCGAGTCCTCCCCATTAGCTTAAAATGAGACGAGCAGCAGCAGCTGTGGGGTTTGTGGGGCAGTGAGTGAGCGGCTGCTTTCTCTTCACAGCCAGCTTCTCCAGAGACTCTGAGGAGGAGTCCGGCCGGCGGAGGAGGCCGGCCGACTCCTCGGAGGAGGACTCGCGGCGCCGGCGGCTGGTGCTGAAGCGCCGGCGGGCGTCTGAGGAGGACCGCTCCGAGGACTCGGACGACTCCTCAGAGGAGGACCGGCCCATCCGTAAGCGGGTCAACCGCATAGACTCGGACGATGAGGAGGAGGAGGAGCTGGAGGAGAAGCCCAGAGCCCCGGAGGAGTCAAAGGGAACGCCCGCTAACGGGCCCGCTAACACAGCCAAGAGCCCCCCGGGCACGGCCAGCCCGCCCCCCGCCCCCGCCCCCGCTGGCAGCCCGCGCCCGGAGCCCCCCAAAAACATCAGCTCCACCCCGGCTGCTGCCCCCGCCCCCAACGGCCTGGGGGGGCCGGACACGGCGGGGGCGGAGGAGGAGGAGGACGACCTGCTGGGGGTCACAGACCTGGTGGACTACGTCTGCAGTAATGAAGAGCTGTAAAAAGAAAAAGGCTTTACCCTTTCTTTATGTGCTATTGTATTTTTATAATGCTTAACTTTATTATTCCCTTCTCAGCCAACACGTCCTGGGGCTGAATGTGTTGGCTGCAGCTGGACGCTCACCAACAGTACAGAGGTCCTCTGACCCCCCCGTCCCTGTGGGACCCGTCTCAGAGAGCTGCCCCCCCACCTCCCGCTTCCCCTGCTGCTCCCGGTGGGTGGAAGCCCCCCCCGTTCAGCACTGAAACCAGTACTGTTGGACTCCGTAATGACTCCGTTTGAAACGTGGCTCCACAGCCTCTGGGAATTCTGAATATCCAGGAAATGTATAGTTTCAACTTCCTGAGGAAAGAAAATCCACCAAGCAAATAAGAAAAAAAAGGTGCTGCTGGAAGTGTCCTAAACAAGTCTGACAGCAGTTTGGCTTTTCCAGGTGGTCCCTGGGGGCTTCGGCCGGTCAGAGCTCAGAAGATGGAATCAGATTCCGTTCTGGTCTTTTTAGTCTCTGTTCACAGCTAGCTGGCTGCTTCCTGGTTTGTTTAAAGCTCTCCTTTCATTTTTTTACTTGTAAAAATAAATTATGATTTTTCTTTTAGACCCTGAATCCTGTTTCATATGCTAAGCCTTCACCCCCCCCCGCCCCCGCCCAAACGCTGACGCTCACTCTGGTGAGTAGACTTAGTGCTCATCCATAGTTCAGCTTCTTCTCTCCTCTCCCGGTGTGAGTGTACGTCTGTGGCCAGCCTTCCTTTTGTATTTGCCTGCTAGTGTAGCTTTTGTACATTGTAAACGTGTAGAATGATCAGGACGACGTGCACTGCCATCAGCACCGCTGGTAAAACTCTGTTTTTGGAGTTGATTTGGAAAATAAAGTCAAACTCTGTCCCTTCTAATCTTCAGATTAGATTTTTCTTACCGCATTTGTTACTTTTTTTAAAACATTTGTTTATGTATTTTTTGTATATCTATAAATGTTCATCTGTTGTGTCGGAGTAAAAAATGTAATGTCTTATTTTCTTTGTACATTCTTCCGTGGAAGGGCCGTACGGCGGCATATCCCTCAGTCTCTGACAGACATACCGCTCAGATCCCAAAGTCCTGCTCTCCTCTTTTCCCCAGATGTTTTGTTTTCATCATTTTGAGGGAAGTCGCAGTGCAGCGCTGTCCTGATCAAGATGATGAAAATGAACTTGTAATTTAAAAGTCTGAAAGTGAAATGTTGGAGGTGAGTTTTTGTGTGGGGAACAGACGGAAAAGAAAAGCCAACGATGACTTTCTGACCTCTGCTGGAACCAGTCTGTGTATATCTGTAGTTTATGCTGTAATATATTTAGGCATTTTGTAATCATGGAAAAATATATTGGGCAATTCTTTGGGATTGCATGACTTTCTAATAGTTTTCTTTTCTAGGGACGTTATATTGCCACAACCTCTTTTTTTATAACAAAATTCCGAAGCCTAAGGCATGTTTTAAGAATGGCTGTAATCTAAGGTGTTGCATTAGAGGGGCTGATGACTTGGATCTGACACCTCTCATTGTTTTGGTAGAGGTGCACAGGCGAGCGTGCACCGGCCGGTTCCAGGCCCGGGGCCGGGCCCAGCAGGACCGGCCTGTAGGAGGACCGGCCTGTAGGAGGCTGTCTAACACCCCTGCATCAGATTTTAAGAGAGGAAATGAAGTCTGACTGTAAGATATTTTGTAAATTACTCCCAGCATGGTCTTCACAGAGAATAAACCACTCTATTTATCATGCAGTTTTGATACTGGCCATGGCCAAACCCTGACTTCCAAGACAAAGACATAGTACAGTAGATCGAAAAGTCAACTATAGAGATGTTATGGGCTGTGTCCTGGTGGGGGGGGCGGAGGAAAGGCCCAACATGTCTGTGCTCACATGTATGGAAATGTACGTCATTCAGGATTACGATATTACTGCTAGCAAGGCCTTTGTAGAAATGGAGTGAAGGCAGGAGGTCAGTGCCAATGACTGAAGTGTTAACAGAGTTTGCTATTTACCTCAAGATGAATCTGAATGGTAAGACACCCTGTCCACTGTGTGAGTCCTCATAGACTTGTTGGTGTTTTGTCTGACTCTTTACATTTTTGTTAGGTCTATTGTTATTTCATATGGATCAGATCTTGTACATTTGTCATAATAAACTGGCCTTTAAGCCTCATGTTGGTCTTTCTGGCATTTTTCAGATGTGGAAACCTCAGATTTGTATATCACTATCAAATTAAATGTTTCTAAGCAAACCCTGTTCATTTTTCAGGCAATGTCTTGGTGTAGGTCATGCAGCCAAAGGGATCTGATGGAGGGCTGAACAGGGAAGCAGGTGTTTGGCATTCTGATGGAGTCAGACTGGAAGAAGAGGCAGCAGAGGGCCCAAAGGTCACATTATGTAACCGCCCCCGTTACCCGAGGCCGGCAGGACTTAACCCAGATAATCCAAACCTATCTGGATGGATCAACTCTCATTGATGCTCACATTTAAAGATACTTGTATATATTCTATTTTATATATGTATATATACACTTTGTCACTAAAAAACTACATTTGCTCCTGGTCTTTTGAAGTGGCCTAAAGTAACAGCTGGCTTGTGATTGACACCTTTTCAGCAGCTGACCAGTGTTAGGCCACCTAACACTGACCGATGAGATATCCAGCCATAAAGAGGAACCGCCCGGAGCCTGTTCAGGTCAGGATTGGAACGACACACTGCATAAACAACCAGTCTGAAACGGTACCCTTACACACTTAGTTACACAAACAGCAGATATGACAAACACCCGAAATAACACAGCCGACATGAATCTTCACACAAAAACCGCATGTCAGTGCAAAGAAAAAAGGAACAACACCAAACACTGGCAGGTCTTCACAGATGTCAGTTTATTCATTCTTTCGTACAGATCCTGACAGGTAGTGATCATCCATACTGACCGGGTCTGAGCTGAAGTTACTCTGATAAAAAGAGTCCACTCTGGACACAGAGCACTCAGACCAGTAAACACTGATAACGCTGTCAGTCATTCACTAAGGCACACAGTCCAGAGCGGGTCCAGACCAAGCCCCACGCACGGAAAACCACCGAGCACCTTCACATCCAACCGGACCACGCCAGGGTGTGACAGGGCCCGCCCTAAAGAAAACCCACCAGTTTGTGCTCTTCCTTTTCCAAACAGCTTCTACCTGCTGCTCACTGACTAACGGCTGCCCAGAGAAGATGACCAAACGCTGGACATACTCATGTCAATAGATGGAGCTGGTCTGTTTCTGGAATGTTTAGTGGGAGCAAGTCCACACAGTCTGTGCTTCATGGGAGAGGCAGAGAGGGGGGGGGGGGTTACCACACATTCACTAAAGTCCAAAGAAGAAACAAAACCAGGAAGCTGTGATTCCACCACGTCTTTGGTTTGATATGGTGCTCCTGATCCTCTTCAATGAAAAAGAATCTGTGATTTCATTACATTTCCACGTTAAAATCTTCTGAACGATCATTCAAAACAAATGCATTCTAACAGAAGGGGGTGTGAGCAGTGTTACCCAGAAAGGACAAACACACATTAGCGTCACACACATGTTCCCATAATGCATGCTGGAATGTAAGCAGGAATGGCCGTTTCTATGGAGACAGTCTCACCAGGGGGTCATTTCAGCTCGTTTCAGGGGTCTAAAGCTGTCTATAACTGTTGTCCCAGGGGTGTGGAGCTCCAGCCACACATCAGCAGCATGGCCCCTCCCTCAGAGATGCTGGAGGATCCCCGCCCAACAAGCTCTGTCTTTTAGATAGTCACTATTCCTACAGTGTGTCTGTGCTTTCAGAGCTCTGCACACACACACACACACACACACACACACACACACACACACACACACACACACGCGAGCGCACGCTCTCTCTTTGAACAGCGGTTCCTCATCAAACCCCACCAGCCCCCCCCCCGCTAGCAGGTCTTCTGCTTCTGGGCAGGGCGGCCGTCCGGCTCTCTGCGGCTCCGTCCAGAGAGGAAGGGGAGGACCTTCTCAAACAGCAGGACGCAGCTTGCCATGCCTGCAGAAACAGGATGTCAAAACGACAGCTCACTGCCCATGGACCCAAACCAGGCAGCTCAGTGTCTCTGAACCATTCTTTTTGACCCAAGACTCCTTTAGCAGGAGATGACCTGTGCAGAGCAAACTAAAACTGGAGTCTCCAATAGTTTACAATTTCTGCTACGGGACGATGCCCCCTGCCCATTCACTTCCGTCTGGCTGACCTCTCAGAGGCTGCTGACCTCTCAGAGGCTGACCTTACCTAACAGAGGCTGACCTCTCAGAGGCTGACCTCTCAGAGGCTGACCTTACCTAACAGAGGCTGACCTTACCTAACAGAGGACCCAGCCAGTACACGAAGCAGTACTCCAGGCCGGTGTGGCCGCTGCAGGGGAACTGGACGGAGAAGGCGAGGGCCGGGTTGAACATGGCTCCTGACACGCCTCCGCCTGACAGAGGGACACACAGACGGCGGTCAGTCAGCCCGCAGGAAGCTGTAACCAGATCCTGAGGACACGTCCAGGAGGTCCGGAAATAGAACTTCACAGCCCTGGAGAATCTGTTCGGAAAGCTGAAGCTACTTTAGTTTTCTTCCTTTGGCCACAGATGTTCTCAATGCTGTAATGGGTCTGAACCGGTTTGTAAAGAAATGTGGTTCAAATGAATTTTACTCTACTTAAGATTCTTCACAGTACAGCAATTCGTATTAGTCAACTCATACTCTGTTTTAAACCAAACCATTGTTAGACTATCAGTTCTTTCAGGTGGTCTCTGGATGGAAACTCATTTACAGTCAGGGACCAGCTTCTGAACCTGAGAGGGGTGTGCTGGCTACCCTGTAAATCCCTTTAAATCCCCAGAGATGGTCACAACAGCAGCAGGGGTCAGAATGACCCAGACTCCTGACCAGTCAGACAGACGTCCCGGGGCTCCACAGGCTCCAGGCCACCGTAACCGTCCCTCACGCGTTTCCTCTCATTTTTCATTTGCTAAATGAGTAGTGTTGGTGCTCATGTGCCCCCCCCCTCCTCACCTGCCCACACCACGGCCGTGATGACCGCAGAGATGAGCGGAGCTCGGAGTTTCTCCTCCACTCTGTGCGCGTGCATGGCGGCGGCCTGGACCGTGAAGGTGCAGGCCAGCTCCGCGGCCATAGCCTCCAGCAGCGTCCCGCCCAGGGGGTCGAAGCACCGGAAGCCAAAGCGCTGGTGCCGGCGGTGCAGCTCCGACAGCCCCAGCGCCCACACGGCGGCGGCGGCGGCCCGCGCCGCGGCGGCCGCCCCGAACTGGCAGAGCATGAGGCCGGCGGCCCCCGCCCCGGCAGAGGCCCCCGACCCCCGGAACCAGCCCCCCAGAGCCACGGCGGGGCCCGTCCCCCGGAACCAGCCCTCCAGCGCCGCGGCCGGGCTGCACGAGGCTCCCCGGAACGTGAGCAGGTGGAGCAGGGTGACGGAGTAGGTGAGGGTCAGGCCGACGGCCGGCTCCACGCGCGCCGTGTCCCCCAGCAGCTTGAGCTCGTGCGTGCAGCAGCAGAGCTGGAAGGTGGAGGCCGCCTCCAGCAGGAAGGGCCAGGCCGGCCCGGGCACCAGGCGCCGGCCCGCCCGGCGGCCCAGCTCGCTCACGAGCACCGCGGCCGCCAGCACCAGCAGCGACACCGCCCCGGAGCTCATGTCCGCGGCCAGGGCTGCGCGTCCTGGGCTGCGGGGTGCTGGGCTGCGGGGTCCTGGGCTGCGGGGTCCTGGGCTGCGGGGTCCTGGGCTGCGGGGTCCGGCTGCTCCGGCCCGGAAGACTCCAAAGTCCACCTGATCCACGCCGTCAAGCTGTCACGCACCAAGTTTGGAACCGGAAGTACGCGCGTCAGACTTCACGGTTAGGGCGCGCGCGGTAGGAATGGCTCCAGTTGGCCCTGGAGCCAGACGACCTGACCGGCTGGACTGGTGAGTGTTTCCCAGGCCAGGTTACATTGGTCGGTTTTCGGCTGGTGTTGACTTTACAGAACCTGGTGTTCACAGTCACTGCCTAACTTATGACTCTGAACAGATTTAAAAGACAGGCTTTTGGACATTTAGAGGCTTTGCGTTGTCTCACCTTGATTCTCAGTTAAGTTGACTATATCTTAAAGTGAAGTTTATCTTTTAACTCCAAATGGTTGGGACTCGTAATCAGCACTCATCAACCAGAACTCCCATGGCAGAGATAAAGTATGGATTCAAACCACCACATAGAGATGGGAAAAAAACTTCTTTATTTTCTGTAACAGACAGACACCACCTTTGTTTAAAAAGGTTCATTGCAAGCATTCACAGAAAAAGCAAAGTGGTGGATTGTGAGGACAGAGGAGTCGACCTGCTGTCCTTCTCTCCTCTTTCTACACACCTGATTAAATACAGCTTCAAAACCATTCCATGCCTGTGTGCCTGTGATGTAGGGTATAAGACATTAACATAGATGGTCTCATTGTCCATTTTCTAATATCTAACTTAAGATCACGCCATTCCCTCCTTTCGAGCAGAATGCTACAGGATGAAGAACCCTACATGTAGTATGTGGGGGCTGAGTACAGCAGGTAGTTGAGCTTGGGCTCTACGGGGGGGCCAAAGCTGCTGTTCTCGTGGGCCTGCCGGCGGTAGTACCTGCGGAGGGCGGGGCTGCCGGGGTGGCGCTGCCTGACGTGGAGGAAGTACTCGTCCGGGCGGCTGGAGGTGTAGCCACAGTCCTCACACACGAAGATCTTGGAGCGCCTCTGGCGGTAGGCGTACTGCTGATGGACCCCGTGGATCTTCCTCATGTGGGACTCCAGAGAGCAGCGCTGGGTGAAGGCTTTCTCACACAGCTCACACTTGTACGGGCGGATGCCTGCAGTCAGGACACACAGCTTCAGTCCCTCTGAGCAGGTTCAAGCCTGCTGAGTAGCTTCAGCAGGTGTCATGCAAATCTTGAGCGATAAACCAGATTTAGAGATATATCACTTCCTGTGTGGTTATAAGAAAAGAGACCCTGAGACCCCCATTCCGACCTTCCATTTCCTCGGCTTTGCAAACAGATTTTCGAGCTATTTTTTAGCTATCGATCCGATCTTTTACACCAAATGGAGACCCGTTTGTCATCCAGCCCGTAGCTGACCTGTTCCCTGGCTTTAACAGGGTCCTGCAGACCCACCTGTGTGTGTCCGCATGTGCCTCTTCAGGTCGAAGGTGTCGTTGAAGCCTTTCCCGCAGAAGCGGCAGGGGTGCCTCTTCACCAGGCTGTGGCACTTGAGGTGGCGCGTCAGCATCCGCTGCAGGGGGAAGATCTTGTGGCAGACTGAACACACAAAGTCTCCGGAGACGGGGGAGGTGCGGGCGCGCGGCTGGAGGAGAAACAAGGCAGAGAAACCTCCTCGTGAATATCACCACATGAGGATTCCTGTCAAGGTATTCCAGAAAAATGGGGCCACGACTGGCTTGAATTAGACTTTAGATTGAGATGACGGTAAAGGTGGAACTGTGGCCTTGGTTGGATCTTTGAATGATTTTGTTCCCGCTTGGCAGAAAGGCGTTTTCCCGTGTGGATGTCTGCGGGGCCCCCCCCCCCAGTGCTACTCTACTACAGCAGAGCACAGGGGAGGTTTCTCTCTGCCTGTGCACTGGGGGAACTATCTGGAAAGTCTTGTAGAAATACGTGTGGTCTCCCTTCTTGCTTTGGTTTTTGGATCTCACCTCTGCCCACATGTCGCTCATATCCCTCTGATAACGGGTCTGAGTGAGCTGGGGGGCCATCACAGCTGCCTGCTGAAGCTAGGCAGACTGTCATCGGTTTCTGGAACTCTGAGGAGCTTGAGCCAAGGACACTGGATGTCTCTCATGGTGAGGACCTTTGTCCTCTGGTCCTAATGGCTCCTGTAGTTCTAAACCACAGTCCGGCAGTCTGATCCTGAACAGAGGGGTTGTTACAGAACACCCCTGACCTAGGTGACCAGTCGTTCTAAGCCACAGCTGGTCTAACTGTCTGGAGGTCGAGCCTAAGGAGGAGATCCATGCTGCATCTGCCTTTGCTGATAGGATTTGTTCCACAGAGAATTCAGAAAACAGATATTCAGACATTAACGCATCTGGTCCCTCTGTTTGCTTACCCCCCCAAATAAGTCTGTCCCTGGACAGCCAGCTGAGCTCTCCTACATGTGGTCTGGATTCAGTCTGCATGCTGCAGAAGGCTCACCTCAGTTTAGCGGTTACCCTTTTCCTGCCTCTGTCACCCAGCGGCCGTTTCCTCTGGGAAGCAGAGCCCTTAATGTCTGGGGTTTTCTTACCAGAGCTCTGCCCACAGCAGCCAACCATCTGAGCTGTTTCTCTGATGCTTTTAGGCAGGGTCTGCATCCTACTGGACTGGATTCTTCTCTAAAAAGCAGACATTCAATTGCTCTTCCTGCCTAACGTGAAATATATATGGTGGCAGCCTTTTTTAAGAAAAGGACTCTTTCATGTGTGTGCTATTTGAAAACTGTTTCTGTTGGTGTGGTCATTCTTTGTGACATTCTGGACATCTGAACCCACCTTTGCTCTGCTGACGTGTCCTAAGGCAGTGGGGTAGTAGAAGGAGCCCGGGAGCATCACTCTGGACCAGTCTGCTCGGGTGGGGGCCTCTGGGGGGGGGGCGCTGAGTGCGGCCGGCTCACACCTGGAGGGGCCCGCTGGTTTGGGGGAAGGCTTTTGTGTGTAGGAGTTTAAGGGGACCCGCTCCTCACAGTTATCACCGGCTACAGAAACGGCTGGAGAAAAACATTGTTACTCAATGAGTAAAGCACACAAAATGATAACAAATCAAATGAATGTCAATGTTAATGTCTGAAATAAATCTATCAATTAAAGTACAACATGTTGAGTATAGATGTAATTAAACCAGCTTGTAGCGTGTGCTACTTTTGACCACAGTAACTCAAATAAAGGAGATTTTATGAACAGAGAGCTCTTACCTGTGGCGTTCTGTTCGTTCCACTCATGTTGTTCCGGCTCTTTCCACTGCCATGCACCACATGCTCCACGTTTCTTTTTCACTAGAAAAGACTTTGGCATCCTTTAGACTTGTTCCTTTTTCGTTCTATTTCTTGCCCTGTGTTAGATCATCTCACAACAATCCTGCCAAATGATTTTGAATTGAAACTTTTTCTGACCATCAATTTCTCCTCCTTACTCAAACCCTCATCCCTGGACAGACTGCCAGGGAAGCGTCCCAGGGAAATCACAGCACTCATTTCCATAGGCCTCTCTCTAAATAGTGATGAAGGGTGGGGCCAGAGGTGGGGGTTACTGTTTGGACAGTAGTGCACCTGTGCTGACTGTGCGTATCTGCCATTTTAACTGGTCCTCCATTGGTTTTGCATGTCAGGTAGTGAGAATCCGGAGAGCTTATCACTCGAGTAGCCCTTGGCATGCAAATCTTGGTCCCAGGCCAAGCCCTGTGCCAGAGAAAGGCCCTGGTCTAAGTAACAGGAGCAGGCACAGTGGAGCCACAGCCTTAACTGCTAGGTAAATCAGGTTTTTCTTTTTTTCCATGTCTGTTTTGTTGTCATTGTTTCAGAGGATTACAAGTCTCTTCAGATACTGAATAGATTTTAGGCACTTGCAGTCTTTTGAATGTGTTATTTACATAATTTCAAATATGGCGGCACCATGTATCCTGCTGGGTTGTGCGCTTATGCGTGCTGGAAAAATGACGAGTGGATCAGTGTTAGCAAAGGTCACACACACACTGCTGCAAAACTAACCAGTCATGGACTTATGGCCCTCTAACTTCTATTTGTTAGTTATTCTGTAAACAGCACATCAGTAAAGTAGCTACTGTGTATTGGACTCATATTCTGAACTTCAGTGGGGCATCTTCTTTCAAATGACTGTGCACAGGAAATACAAATGAAGTCTGAGGCCAAAGCCCATCATGCAAATGACAATAGAGGTTACCTCAATAACAAATTGAGGCGGCCCAGATTCACAGGGTGCATGTTAAAGCCAAGAGCCAGAAACAGAATTTGCCAAATAATGTTAACCAAGCTAAACAAGTCCTGTCTGTCTGTCTATCTATCTATCTATCTATCTATCTATCTATCTATCTATCTATCTATCTATCTATCTATCAGTATGTATTGCCTGATCTTGTCTCCTCCTCTGATGGTTTTGGACTCGCACAGTGCCTTCAGGAAACTGTTGAATGTACTGTGCCCTCCACAGCTGCACTCTAACTGTATGCAAAACTCAGCCTTTGTGCTGCAGCATGGAAATGAATGGAGAAAAGGGAGCTCCAAACACTGCTGCTCACACTGATCCACTGAGACAGACACAATAGTTGTGGAGCCTGTGGCTGAATCACAGGTTGCTGTACACCCCTCTTAATGATATGTTTGTTTAATGATATGTTTGACAGAGTAGATCCAGTTACACTGACAGAGATCATGTTTTTCTGGAGGGGAAAAGAGACTGAAAAGGTCAGTCTTTTTGTTCTGCCCACCAATAAGACAGCTCGTCTGAGCACGAGTACGGACATGTTGGTGTGTGTGTGTATGAGGGTGTGCCAGAGCCAACATCTGTGTGTGTGCGTGTGTGTGTGTTTGTGCATGCGTGCGTGTGTGTGTGTTTGTGCGTGCGTGTGTGTGTGTGTGTGTGTGTGTGTGTTTGTGCGTGTGTGTGTGTGTGTGTGTGTTTGTGTGTGTGTGTGTGTGTGTGTGTTGATCCCTCAGCTGGTGGTCTGGAATGAGGGGCAGAGGGTTTGGGCTCTTTCTGAGGGGGTCTGAGTGGTTGTCGGTGGGCTTCTCTTCTCTTTGTGGATGAGTCTGAAGTGGCGAATTTGGATTTCTAATACTTATCAATGATACTTTTATCTCCATTTCCTGTGTAAATGTTGGTCTGAAGCCAGCATGTTAAAGTACTGTTGAATCCATTTTTTCCTCTGTGGTGAAAAGCTGGGATCCTGAGGGGGGGGCCTCCTGCCGGCCCGGTGCTCGCCTCTTCTCTGGGTTCGGGTGTTGTCTGGCTCTTCCTGGTCTCGGTTGTGCTCTGCAGGGATGTGTTTGCCAGGCATGTGGGATTTTGGGGGATTTCTGAGAGAGGCCTCTTACCTTTACAAAATTTCAAACCTCAGGCTTCAGTCAAAACTTTTGGGAAAAAGTGTTGCTTTACAGGTTCTCTGACAGTTTCATTATCTATATTATTATTCAGTACTTATTATTATTATCGACACAACTTATCCCTGTGTGTGTGTGTGTCTGTGTGTGTCTGTGTCTGTGTGTGTGTGTGTGTGTGTGTGTGTGTGTGTATGTGTGTGTGTGTGTGTGTGTGTGTGTGTGTGTGTGTGTGTGTGTGTGTGTCTGTGTGTGTGTGTCTGTGTGTGTGTGTGTGTGTGTATCCCAGATGACCCAAAGAGGTGGGTACACCCTGCCCAGTCCATCACAAAGCCCCCACCACACACACTACCATTCACACCTCGGGGGAATTCAGAGAGTCCACTGAGGCTAGCGTGAATGTTCGGGATGGTGGGGGGGGGGGGGGGTGGTCTGTGGGGGGCAGCCCCGAAGAGGAGGGGAGCTCATGCAAAGCCCACACACACCTGCTCCCCCCGGGACCCCCACCTGCCCCCACACACCTGGCAGTTTGTCTTTACTCATGCCAGGGTACGAGCAGCCCCCCCTCCACAGTCCCACGATGAAAACAGTCCTGGCTGCTTGGCTCCAGCTTTGGAACACAAAAATGTCAGTAACTGTTTTAAAGTTGTGAGAGAAAGCGTCTCTTCTAAATCTGTGAGAGCATTTCTTCAGGAAATGAATCTGAAAACTGAAAAATCGTTTCAAAACAGACACGGGTTGAAACGGGAGAGGCTGCTGATGGGGGGGCCGGGAGAGGCTGCTCCAGCAGAGGGCAGTGCTGCCCGGCCTCCAGCACAAGCTGCGCTAAAACCACCAGAGAAGAAGAAGCTGGCGCCGAAGAAGAAGGAGGACTAACACCGAGCTCCGGGCGGGCAGCTTACGGTGACCGGCCATGTGAGGGCAGCGGACTCCGGGGACCATGCTGATAACCCTCTGCTACGTCTACCTGTGGGTCCGCTTCCACCGGTGCTACTCGGTGCTGATCCGCCACAGCCTGTCCAGGCTGCACTGCTCCAGCAGCAGCTTCTGCCTCAGCTTCTGCTCCCGCTCCGCCCCGGTAACGGCCCCGGTACCGGCCCCGGCCCCCGGACCGGGGCCCCGCGCACAGGCGGGCCGGCCCGGACCTCAGCCCGCCGGGGACACCGTCTTCCTGGAGCTCGGGGACAGGACGGTGTACGTGACGGAGCCTCAGGTCGGGCTTTGTCTGGGGGGCTTCGGCCGGGAGGGCGTGGGGCGGGAAAGCCGCTTCGTTAATGTTTGATATGCCCCCCAAAGCTCCGGGGGGGGGGGGGTCCCACTGCGCCCACAGAAACCCGTAACGCAGAGCCCCACCGGAAGTGCGCGGCCATTGGCGTCGCAGTGACGTCAGAGCGGCGCGTCTGAGGGCCCTGGCAGGCGTCTGACGTCAGAGTTGGGATGCGAAAGCTCGCACCTGAGAGGGTTAGCTAACCCTAAACTGGTTTTGAAACATTAGTTTTACAAGATATATTTGAACAAATGCAAACACACAATTTAGTCGTAGCAGATCTAGAGAAACATGTGAAAAAATTGTGTCCACCTGAGCTGCCTAAATGCAGTGGGGGGGGGGTGCTAGTTGGAGGTCATACCCATCAGAGAGGTCAGCTCACCCTGTACACCCCCCCGCTCCATCTGACTGTGGGCCCGGTGTGGAGCCTGTGCAGGATTTTAAACAGTGTTTCTCTGTCCACATTAGGTGTCAGAATATTCTGTGGGTTATTCAATATGAATGCCCAAGTGTCGTCCTGAATAGACCAATCTAAATCCTTGTGCCTTTGTGTATGAGGTGACCAGAACATTCTAGATTGGAGCTGAGATTCATGACGGATGGATGTCTTTGGTCTGGTCCGGATGAGGATGTCCTCCAGAGCCCATTCTTTGAGAGCCTAAGCTGTTTCTGGATAAGGTGCCTCATCTGGAGGATGTGGTAGAAGTGAGATTGTGGCAAGCTTTATTTACTCTTCAGGTTTTCAAATTATTCCAATCCTTCTCCTTCTTCAGCCATATGTCGCCACATGCCAACACCAGGTCCTGATATGAGGGGGGGCATCAGGCTTGCCCCCATACAGGGGCTAGCAAAGAGGAGGGATTTTTCAGCTGAATCATGTCTTGATCTTGTTCCACGTATATTCAATACTATATCATTGTTTTGGACCTCTCTCTTCTAGCTAACACAGGGGCCGTCCTCAGGTTCATCACACATCCGTCCCTGTGTGGTTCTGTCTGGGTTCACCCATTCTTTCAGGGATCCGATGGCAGCTGCCATGTGATACAAACACATGTTTGGGACTCCCAGGCCTCCTCCTCCTTTACTTCTTTGTAACTTGCCTAATTCATTCTAACCTTTCCCCCGGCGACAGGAGGAGTGTAAACGCCTTATTACCGTTGATAGAAAATCTGTTCAGTGCATAACCATTTATGCCCAGCCAGGAGATCTTCCTTTACTCCAGCTATGATTTATTCCAGGTTAAGTTTAAGCAGTGTTTTTAGAGAAGGGCTCATTCTTATTCAAAGATGAGTTATTCCTGCTGGTGACCAAGAGAAGGGAGTTACCTGGCTCAGTAGAGCCTGTCATAGCCCCAACAGGTGGTGTGGCGTCCGCCTTTAGCCTTAATACCTGACACGTGTCTGAGCCGTCAGCCTTATCCAAAAACCAAAGTGTAAAGTCTGTACAGCGACTGTGGCTTCTTGTGTTTGACCTCTGACTCCATCCGCTTTATCTTGGTTTCAGTTCTTCTAAGTTCTGGAATCGGCTCAATAGCCAGTGTGAACAAAAGGGGGCTCAGTGGACACCCCAGCCAGGTTATTTGCTCCAGGAGGAAGAGCTCTGACCAATGGGAACAAAAAATGATGGAGGCTTTAAGCTATAGATGCATTCATTTGACCCATTCAGTGAATCCTGTCCCAATTTTGAATAAGGCAAAAGTGCAAAAAGTAAAAAGCCGTTGGACTTTGGACTGAAACTCAGGCCCTCACAGAGTCCGGGGACACCCCTGATCCCTGTGTGGCTTTCTTACTGGCAGCAGTTTGTTCTGTTGATGAGTCCTGTTTGGTCAGGCTTCAGCAAACAGGAGGCCTCTGGAGTTCCAGCCTGAGGGTCAACACCTCCACCACCACTCTGCATCTACACTGACTAGTGAGACGGGATGGAAGAAGCTGGGTCTTCCAGGTCTTTGTCTTGTGGACAAATGGTAGCGACAGACAGTGTTTCTGGCAACTGGAATGAAAAGTTTTAGTGAGATAAGTTGCAAGCCTTTGAACCAGTCGGCTGGAAATCCGTCAGGGCCCAGCTATTTCCCACTGCCTCCAATATTTCCCTGTCCTGTGGGCCTACCCATGATCCCTTGCTGCTCTTCCGTCAGTGTTGGCAGCTTGACTCTAGAGAGAAATGCATCCAGTTTGAATGAATTGGATAAAGGTGCATTAGAGGGTTCTGTGAAGGCGTTTTTTGGACGTGTGCGGGTTCTGTATGGGACGTGTTCCACTTCCAGGAGCAGAGTGGATGTATGGGCTATTTAGTTTTTAACATGGCTCCCCACATTATTTATTATGCATCATAACTCAAAGAGCCGTTGATTGCTTTGTGGACGGGTCCACTGGGAGTCTTCTGTGGCAGGGAGCCTGGTTTGCTGCTGACTCCACAGCTCCGGGTTCTGGTTCTGGTTCTGGTTGGGAGCCCAGCCTGGGCTCTCTGTGTTCCCCTGTATGTGTGGGGTCCTCTGCTGCCTGGCCTCCTCCCCTGTCCTGGGTCAGGCTGCCGGGGTGGGCGGTGACCTGTCTGGGGGCTGGCTGGTGTGGTCTGGTGCTCTGGTCTAAGCACTGATGTTGACCAGCACGCTCATGTGGGAGTCAGGACACACGCTGCAGTTTGTTAGTGCATTCATTTCCAGGTTCCTGCCTCACTGCAGCCTGTCGGGGGACTTAGGGTTAGGGTTAAGGCTAAGGTTAGGCTTAGGGTTAAGGTCAGGCTTAGGGTGACCATATTCTGAAATCTGCTTCCACCTCGGCGCCATCACAACCTGATTTCTGTCCCTCAGGCCATTCTCGGTCTTTTCCGGCCAGTTCCCGGTATAAACCCTGAACAGGTTCCATCTCTGGCTGCATCCCAGTCTGTGTTTGGCCAAAGCAGGACCCACACCGATGTTCAGGGACCCTCTAAAACCACGGAGCCTTCATCCCAGTCGTCCTGCTTTTGTTATTAACCATGTGTTTCCATATCTTTGAGTGTTCTCCGTTTCCAGGCGGCTCCTGCTCTGAAGGCCTCTCCTGTGCCTCCTCACACCTCCTGCTGCCTTTCTGATGTGTGTCTGAGCTGCTCTCTCTTGTTGGTCCCCAGGTGTGTGATGACCTTAGCAAATGGACTGTTTTGGGATCCACTCTGGTTTGTGGTCCACGAATAGAGAATATTTCATTCATCATTGAAGCTGCAGGAAAAGGAGAGGGATGCCCCTCTTCTTCCAACGCGCATAAAAAAGTAGGCCACTTGTTTTTTCTGAACCTTTACTCTGTGCTGTGAGCAGTACCAGAACATTGTTCAGGTCCTGGTTCTGAGCTGTTCAGTGATGGAACAGACCCATTTTTCACAGAATGTGCTCAGTGTGGGCTCTGACTCTGACACCCCCCCCCCCCCCTTTGCTCGGCTGTGCACAATATCCAGGAGTGGACCTTGAACAACTCCTTGCTTGTGTTCGGAGTATCGGTTTGTGTTGAGACCCCGATGATTGTGGGCAGTTTTTAGAACTGGGTCCTCTTACACCAGTCAGCTCATGGGGTTACCCCCCCCCAGCAGCCTATAGAGGGAGAGAGGTGCATGATGTAGCCAGAGGCTCTGGGAGGCTTCAGGGCTCCTCAGCCTCCCTAACTCTGAGCCGTCTAGTGTTGGCTGGCTTGAGGAGGTTGGAACGGGGCACATGGGGGCAGAGATGGAGAGCAGCCGGCGGCTCTATTGTATTTCATGTGTCCTGAGACACTGGTTTGAGTGGTATCTGTGTTTTTGAAACTACATTCAGCTTATCAGCCAGGCTGGCCTGGACTCATGGGAGCTAGCCTGCACAGCTCCTAGATGCCTATTTAATGCTTGTTTATTTTACTGGGGTCCTGACTGGGATCAGTGCATGTGTGCAGACTGTTTTAAAGCTTTGGAGGGGCTCATCCTGTCTGCTAACAAAGAGCTGCTGCACAGCTTACATTGGAAGCTTCAGCAGTGAAGGACAGAGTCACTCCACATTTAGCTCCCTTTACTGGATCTAATGAAGGTAGGTTAGAACTAAAAGGTCTGTTGAATAGTCTGAATGACAGTAGTTTGGTGAGCTGTCTGCAGGGTTCCTCTAAGGAAACCACCTTACTACTGCAGCGGTTTCATAGTGTGGGACCTGGCGTCAGGGGAAGAAAAACACAGTAGTGAGCTCCGACTTAAGGTGTATTTTAACTCCTTTCCAAAATGAATAGCAGTATGTATGAGCAGAATATCATTCATTCTTATTACATGAGGCTTTCAAGGCTGATGCCAGCTCTGGAGACTGCACATGTGTGTGCTGATGGTTAATCATTATTGTGCTGGTGTGTTTGCAGAGGGTTCCTAAACTCTGTTTTCCTTCCAGAGTGCATGCATAGGTGTCACTTGGCAGATGATGCTTGTTCTGAGCTACAGCGGTCCATGAGCTCCATGTTTGATAGTGCATGTCAGCACAGCCCCGTTCTAAGTAGCAGGTCTCTGACATAAGGCTCCCAGCAGGGCAGTGGGACTGGGACTGCCTTGTGCATCAGGGTTAAAAGCTGTGTGTTTTTGTCCAGTAAATTGTTAAAAAGTTAGAAAAATATTTTTTCATGAGACTAAAAACGCTGAGATTGCCAACCTCTGTGATTCAGCAAACAATTAGGAACAATTTCTCTGCTTGTTGTTGATCTTCTGTTTAGTGCGGCGTGCCGGCTGCTGCTACTGGAACATTTCCAGAGCGGGCGCTGACGGCCGGCCTTTGCTGTGTGCAGGTGCTGAGGTGGTCAGACTACTGCCTCCCCCTGGCCTGCAGCCCTGGGCAGCCATTCAGAGCAGTGGCTCTGGCAAGTGTGGAGAACTTCACCCGCCTCGGGGTAGCATTTATTGAAGATCGCCTTCAGCTGGACAACGGACTGGTGCCTTCCAAGATAGTCCGTAAGTTGAGTTTCCTGTGTCCTGTTTGCCCCGGTGCCATGTGGGGACTCTTTCCTCAGAGTGTAGTTTGATGAGGACGTTACCTTGACAAAAAACAAAACCGTGAATTCCTCCTGCTGGCTAGTTCTGTTGCCCAGAGGTGTGTGGAAGCAGTTGTGTGAAGGCCTACCTCACAGGTCTGGCACAGGCCACGCCCTCACCAGGAGGGGGCGCCACACCTCCACTCACCAGCAGAGCATTCCTTTGATCACGACAAACTCACTATCATTTCCCATCGTGAGGCTTTAGTCTAGCGTTTTTCTCCCTCCTGTGTAGCACCTGCTTCTCCTTCCATGGTGAATTGTTTCCTACCAACATCTTGTGCGCCTCTGGTTTGCTTCTGTGATCAAAGCGTGTGTTCCTCAGTGCCTCACTCAGTCTTCTCTGTCTGTCCCCATCCAGCTGTCCTCCTCCAGGGGCGCACTCTGAAGGACTTGTTGGAGAAGCAGTGTCTACAGACTGAGAGCCCAGGCCCTCTGTGCTGCCCCCCCCCTGAGCTCTCGCCTCAGCACCTTCTACCCCACCAGCTCCAGCTGGCGTGCCGTAAGGGCAGCCTGCACATGATCCCTGACATCCAGAGGATAGAGGGCCGGCGCGGGTCAGAGCCTGTCCCCAGCTGTCCGGCTCTGGGCTCAGACGTTCACCTGGAGGAGCTCTCCTCAGCGAGTGCTCACCACATGGAAGGCCATGGACACAACCTCCATCTGTCCAGCTGCAACGAATGCCTGGAGCTGGAGAACAGCACCATCCTCTCTGTGAAATATGCCTCAGCGGAGAACATCCCGGACCTGCCTGATGATGCCTCTGTGGGTCAGGGCAGTGTGGGTGAGGAGGAGTGTGAGGCCAAAGAACGCCCGTCTCCAAGTGCTGGAGCTGACTGTAAGAGCAAACCCCCAAATGTTCTGGTGTACACCTGTGGCTGCCAGGAGCGTTTCCAGAGAGTCCAGCAGCTTTTGCTAGAGTGCCTAAATATGGAAAACATCATAATATATCACCTGCAACCACAACAGGTCAGCGACCCCTGGCTGGACAACGCCAGGCTCCTCGTACTGGCTGAAGAGGAAGCCCTAACCCCTGAGCTCCAGACACGTTTTCTTACCTACCTAAACCAGGGCGGCAAAGTCCTGGGGCTCTGCTCCACCCTGTGCCCAGCAGGGCTCCATTTGGAGGTCAGGAAGGGGCAGCAGATGCAGATCCGAAAGCTGAGTTTCACCAGGGAGGACAGCACAGAACTGGAGCTGAGTGCACTGGCAAGTGGAAAGGCCTACATCCGGGACCCTCAGGGCGGGGGGGAGGTGGAGCTCTGGGGCGAACTGAAGGCTGACATCACACATCAGCGGGACATGGTGATCGTGAGGGTGACCCATGGAGAAGACGGTGGGGAGGCCGTTCTCTGTCAGGTAAAACATGATGCCAACCCGGGCTCTTTGTGTCACGTTCAAACTGTGTGTAGATTCAGAGACTTCACAGGCCGAACAGGGGCCTCCAGCTGCAGTGCTGTCGGTTCAAACCAACCATAGATGGCAACTTTTCATCATACCTTCCTGTCCCACAGTTTGTTGAGCCTTAATGTGGGTGTAACTGGTTTAATAAGGAGTTATGACAGATTGTGGTGGGCAGCCAGTCTGAAGCAGCCTCTGCCTGAAGAGACTCTGTTTTCCAACTCCAGTCTGAGGAAGAGGATGCTCAGGGTTCTCCATGATGTTCTGGATTTTATGCTAAATCCGCCTTTGCCTCATGGTCTCCAGAGGTTCCACAGTGGTCCCCAGAACAGAACCAGCTTCTGGATCAGGTTCTGGAGCCTCTGTAGGTCCCTGGTTCTGATGCTGCTGCTGCAGAGGAGACGACACTAAACACCAGCCGTGTAGAAGATCCCTGAAGGATCTTAGCTTCCCTTCAGAAATACAATACACCGTGTGTGTCCCCCTTCCCCAAACAGTCTGACCAGGCCTTTGTTTTCAGGGGGTTTCAGGCATTCATTATAAAAGAATCAGCAGATGCTTATGTTCCACTGCATGGCAGCAGACTGTGGAGGGGTGTGACAACACTGTCTGATTATTCATTTTCTAAAGACAGGCAAGGTAGCTTCATTTGTATAGCACATTTCAGCAAAAGGGCAATTCAAAGTGCTTTACACAAAATCAGTAAAAAAAACAATTACATTGGAAAAAAACCTGCATTAAGATCCATAAAACACAAGATATTTAGAAATATCTCTTGAGGGGAGGACTTTAACTGAAGAGCCACATATTCAAAAGAGGCAACATTTCCATAAAATATTTGCGTACAGTGGAATGAGCCATTAAACAAAGTGGGGACTCCGCCTTTCTTATTCACTCTATTCTCGCTCATAAAACTGAAGTTAGGGGGAGCTGACTCAATGAGAACAGGGCTGTTATGATGATCTAACCAGGTTTCAGTTAAAAACAAAATGTTTGTGATTGATCATAAAATCATTGATTAAAAATGATTTTCCTGCCAAAGACCTGACGTTTAGTAAAGCGAGTGTTAGTGTGTTTTTATTTCTTCTGGACGGTTTGTGGCTGATGAGGAATGGATGCTAAGGTTGCAGTTAAGTGCTTCTTCGCCATTCTTTTTCTGTGCAATCTTCTGAAGGAGTAGTAGAAAGGAGGCATCTTGCTGCTATTTAGCTTCAGCTACAGCCTGCAGGGCTGGAGCTCTGCTCTGCTCTGTGGTGGAGATAAGGGATGCTTCATCACATCCTCTGAACAACACAGACCCCCCCAGTGAGTAGGGTCAGTGTGAGGGTCCAGTGTAAGACAGGAAGGCACCAAAGATCCTTTCTGCCAGCACCCTCCACAAACAGTGTCTTCTGGTGGTAAAAAGCTGCAGTTACAGCTAAAGTGTTTCCCACTTCATGTGGACCTCTCGGTATCTGGGGCTGGATGTGCTTCACTAGCTGTGTTAATATTTATGTGTGTGCCCGTCATGCTGCTGTTTCTTTTTGTGGAAATCCATAAACCTGCGACAGCTGTTTGAACACATGAATGTATGTGTCTGCAGGTCCACTTTGATGTCACGTCTGACTCCTTCCCTTTGGACTCAGGAGGTCCTGATGACCTGAAGCCCGGCAGTGCACTGCGATGTGAAGTCCTAACGGAGATCCTCTCCTCTCTGGGTCTCAGTTGTGAGCCAAATCCGACTCCAGTCCCAGGTCCAGTCCACCTCCTCGCCACCTGTCAGGTAAAACCACCAAACTGCTCCCATACTTAGTCCAGATTGCTGGGCCATGCTCAGACATCATTTTTATGTGTTTAACATTGCGAAATGGGTTTTGGGGATCCTAAAACTGCTGGGAAGTGTATGCAGCTAAAGTGGTTTTGGTCTTTGTCCCTTAACCCCTGAATTGAAGGAACCCTTCACAGGTTATCTTTAATGTGTTTTCTGTTATCTTTAATGTGAAAACAGCAGCAGATAGCAGAGCACTGCAGTGAGGGCCCATCATGCATCATCCAGACACGTCTTTTACACCTCAGGCTTTTCTTGCAGGACAAAAACAGTGTGTGTTGCCGTCATAGTAACCCTAAAAGCCTGAGTACAGAAAACTGCTCCTCTTGAAGAAGCCTTTCAGATGTGACATGAAGAGTCTTTATCATCCCAGAGGTCCAGCTGCCTTTAATCAAGCTCTTAGGAGTAATGTAGAAATCTTGCAAAATACCCACTGAAGCCACTAAGTATATATACAGAGGTAGTTTAGGAGTGAAAGGAGACAGAACACTACCCTTTGCAGACTGAGTCGGATGAATCAGAGAGGTTTGGTACAGAGAAGAGGATGGCAGGATTTAATACATACTGTGGTGGTGAAGGGGGTAAAGTAGAGTCCACACACCCTCACACAGTCAGGGGGTTAGCTCTGAATTAGCCATCAGATCTGAAAGAGACAGAGCCAAGCTTTTTTTCTTTAACCTGTACCAGTTTTTTAAAAAGTATACTGTATACAGCTGAGGTTGTCCCAGTTTTCCAAGAACAATGGTTGGTATTGACGGAACAGTTTGATCTGGATCAAACAAATAGTAGCTGAGTAAACCTGGAATTAAAGAGTTGACTCAGATAATTGTGCTAAGGCTGAATATTGCAGCTCAAATCTGGGAGGATTGTTTCTGTTTGATCTAATTGTAACACTGAATGAATTCTTCAGTCTATTTACAAAGTTCAGATCATTGTCTGTTAGGCTGCTGGAATGACATGGTTGGATGACTAGGAACGCTTTCATTGGGAAAAGCTGAAATAATACCTCGTCTTTTGTTGGTCTGTTCCAACCAGGAGGCAAAGGCCAGTTTCTTGAACTGGCTGCAGGCTCGTGCAGATCAAAGTGCAGACCTCACATTCCCCAAGGCCTCCTTCAGGCTGGTGTCCCCCTCTAAGGCCGGTGACGCTGGCCTGCCCCCCGGGGGCCGCCTGGCCCTGGTCACAGACTCCACAGAGACCAGCGACTGGCCAGAGTTCAGTTTGGAGACCTACCGTAAAAACCTGAGGACCAGCCATCTGGGACAGGTCCTGCTGTATGCAGAGGTGGTCACCTCCACCATGGACCTGTTGGAAGGGTGAGTGAAGTTTGGTCACATCAGGTCTGAGTGGGACAGAAGCAGCTTTCTCTGGCAGGCCTGTGGGGGTACTGAGCCCCAGGATTCCATGAAGGGGGACACCAGACATCTGCCCAGCTCCCACTCTGGTCCTCCAGCTGCTGGCTCCCTGCACTGCCTGTCCAGTGCAAACTGTGTCAGAGGTGCTTCATGTCTTTCTTTTCTGCATCCGCTGTCTCCTCAGGATGACCGTGCACTTGCCAGACGATGTGGGTCTGATAGCAGTAGCCGCCCAACAGAGCCAGGGCAGAGGTCAGTGCTGGAGCAGGCTGTGATAAGTGCTCTCACCTTTACTCATTCTGGTCTGTGTGGTCACTAGGGATGTCCCGATCCAGCTTTTTTCACTTCCGATCGGATACTGGCCGATACCGATCCCGGCCTATCAGAGCTTGTACTAAACTCTAAAGTTATTTATCTACTTATCTACTTAATAGTCAGACTGTGGGATCGGACTTTAAAAAGAAAACTGGATCTGGAGTCTGGATCTGTTTTCTCCTGCTGGCCGGCAGTTTTTTGCAAATATTGACGACCGATCCGATATCTGGATCGGATGGGGACCAGCCTGGTGGTCACACAGAGTGCACATAGGCAGCGTTACACAGGAGGACTGAGAAGATTAAACCTGTCTCTGTCATGCAGCTCTCTCTGGGTTTCTTCCACATCTGCCCTGCCGGGGTTATTGATCCCCTGCTTTGTGTGTGCATTGTTGTAAAAAGGAAAGAGCTGGTGGCATGTTGAACCGTCAGGTTTTACCTGGACTTTGGAGAATGAGTCGGCTGTGTGAGAAGGCCAAATGATGACTCAGCGCCGTGCTTCTCTCCTGCAGGTCGTGGCAGGAACGCCTGGCTCAGCCCACTGGGCTGTGCCATGTTTACGCTGAGGGTCCGAGTTGAATTGAGCTCCAAGCTTGGACAGAGGATTCCTTTCCTGCAGCATCTGGTGGCTTTAGCAGTGGTAGAGGCGGTTTGCACACTTCCTGGATACCAGGTATGGCTTTGTGCCCTTTCTTCTACCAACTCTTCATGATAACTACTATTGTTGATGAGCTGATCTGATGGGATATCAGGACCAGCTGAAACATGAGTGTTAATAACTACTGTGTCCCTGTGGGGCCCTTCAGAGGGCTTTACCGGTCGGTTGGTGCCCGTTCTGTTGGTCACAGCTCGGTCAACGGGTCGCTTTGTGAGCTGTGAATAGCATATTTCCACCACTACACTCTACCATTGCTTTGCTTAAGACAGCTTTATTTAAAAGACTTGACAAACCAGTGGTTTATATCTGAGCTATTGCTGCCCCAGAAAGCAGAGAAGGTCCCAGTGTTCCAGCTCATCTTCACATTCAGTGAAGAGAGATCCCCCCCTCCCCAGCCGGCGGCTCCGGGGCCTCCAGCCGTCTGTTGGAATCTCAGCAGCAGCGTTTGATGCTGGACATCTTCATGTGGACTTCAGTCTCAATGTGAACATGTTTCTCTGCTCTCCAGGACATAGACCTGAAGGTGAAGTGGCCCAATGACATCTACTGTGGTAACCTGACCAAACTGGGGGGGGTACTGGTGACCTCCACACTTCTGGGATCTACCTTTCATCTGCTCATAGGTAACGGATTCCCCTCCTGAACCACTATGGAGGTTTATAGCAGCACTGTGGTCCTCTAACCCTTTAACACCAGTTTGTTGAAATGAACCACCCACATTTTGCAGCCGTTCAGAGTCTACCCATAGTCTTCCTCTCCCATCAGTACCTACTCACAACCACTGTAATAGACTCTCCTTGACTCAGTTGAGCTGTTTTCCACTACAACGACCTGTGGCAGCAGTAGTACGACACAAGAAGAGCCGACGTTTGAGGAGGTCGATAAGGCACCTGGACCTCATTGTTGGACTGCTCTGTGGGTTCAGGCAGTCGGCATGGACAGTGGGATGACCACAGACAGAATTCAATCGCATGGCTGTTGTTGTTAAGCTGGGGTTCATGTGAGGGCATCAGTCAGGTGACACCCCGGCCAGGCAGCCTGCTAACAGACTTGAACTGTTAGGAGAAGCCAGCCCCTCATGAAAAAATAATAGAAACTTTAAATCCAATAGAGCAGAGCCGAGTCGGTATGAGTGGAAAACTTGCATCTTTTATTTTGGAAGTGCTTATAATAAAATCTGTGTTAATGTTTAAATGTCTAAGTGATCATCTGTAAGGTATTGTGTTTATGAGAAACAAAAACAAAGCTTTCTTAGGATGAGGTAGTTTAGAAACTTTGCCCTGGAACTGTGTTAGGAGCACCAAGGAAAAAAGGTATTTTGCCCTGCTCTTAGAATAATATTTCTCTGATATTTTGTGCCCCACAGGATGTGGCTTTAATGTGACCAACAGCAAACCAACAATGTGCATCAATGATGTAATCCTGGAGTACAACAGAAGGAATAACGGCAGCCTGGCTGCCCTCAGCTGCTCCCAGCTCATCGCACGGACAGTTAGCTGCCTTGAAGCCCTCATCAGCAGCTTTCAGCAGGGCGGCCCAGACACTGTCCTGCCCATCTACTATAAGAGATGGCTTCACAGGTATGTTCATTTGAACCATACTCTGCCACTGCGTGTCCTAACTGGAGCCTACAGCCTGCCAGCTCACACCATATTCTCAGTTCTTTTAATTCAGTACTTCCTGTGCAGAGATATTGCAGTATTTTCAGGAAACGTCATGAGGGCATGGTCTTCCCCAGGGACACTGGCACACCTTGAGCTGTGTGTTGAACCACAGGATTTTTGCAAGTACAGAACAAGAACGTTGCTTCCAGAGTAAAGAACGAGCCTTTGCATTGGAAGCAATCTTCATCCATTCACACACGCATGTAGCAAGTCAGTACAATGGAACTGGCCTCACAGCATTTTCTTCTCTCTGTCACTTACATTCACACACAATGGATGCTCAGTTCAGTGCCTTGCCCAAGGGTTACTCCACCTGTGGCCTGGAGGTCTAACCACAGACCTTCTGACTGTGGTAACTGGTCTCGCTAGTGTGTCAAAAGACTGGCAGCCTCGTATGTCAAGTGACATCAGGATGGTGAAAGCCTTTCATCCACCTTTTGTCATTTAAAAAAGCTTTTATTTTCAATCCACCAACACTTCCTTCGCAGTAGGTCTCAATGAAGTGGGCAACACTGCTATTTTAAATCTCCCCAGTATTCTCATGTGCGTAGTGTTGACATTTTGATAATTTTGTACATATTGACATTTCATTACCACTGATGCCTTATTGGTGTATCCCTAAACATGGCGCTTTCACTTCCTTAAAATAAGTCTTTGGTCCTGTGTGGGCCTCAGCCTACTTGCTGGATACTTCAGGACTTTCCAATGTCTTTAATTCTAACAGCACCCTTGTTATGCGTGTCACTCCTCTCATTCATCATCCCAACTGCAGGGGAGATCGTGGGGTTCTCCACCTTCTTGACCAAGCTCTTGTGTAGACCAAATAATCTGTGGTCCGCCCCTAACAGGGGCTCTGTTCACCTGCCAGAAAACCTCCGTCTAGTTTCCTCACAGTGGCAAATGCAAACGTAGTATCAGACAAACTAAACAGGCAGTAAAAACAGAAAGGACATGTCCCTGTCACATTATCTCTGTAGATGATCCTAAGATATTGTTTCTGGGAGCCTGTGATGAAAACATGAGGCTGAACCCTGTCTCTGCTCTGACCTCAGTGGGAGCCAGGTGCGTCTTTGGAGTGAGGACGGGCCGATGGCTGAGGTGGTGGGCCTGGATGACAATGGCTTCCTACAAGTACAAAGTAAAGAGCAAGGCCTGGTGTCAGTGGAGCCTGATGGGAACTCGTTTGATATGCTGAAGAACCTTGTGGTCATCAAACAGCATTTGGGTCAAACTCAGTCCAGTCCAGCACAAAGGCAATGAAAAGAGCTTTGGACACGCTAAACACATTCTACTGTCAGAGGGAAAACACCAGAATGATCTACCATTCAGTCCCTCCAGATTTGCACATTCTCATATTTTGTGTGATTAAAGCTGTTTATGTTGGATTTTATTTGATGGTTGTATAGTCGATGGGCTCCGTCTAAAAGAGTATATTTACATCTAGATTAGAACTTCAATGTCTATTTTTATTTAGCTGATGGAGACCCACACTAAAAGTATGAAAAGCAGTTTGAGCCTTTTCATTCTCCTCTCTTCATCAGTGACAGGTAAGAAGTCTGTGGTGAATTGTAAATAGGAATATAGTGATCCGAACTCCACCTATTAGCAGCTTTTTCAATTTAAGCAGTGGATTCCAAGCATTAAAGTGTCTCACTGTCACCAAGTGAACAAAAAATTAGCTTGACTGTTCACTGCTTATTTAAAATTTTCAACGATAAAAAAACTTTTGCAATTATATACTGATGTAAAATCCATCTGATTTCATGGTCAGATAACCATGACTTTTACAGTTTGTGTCACTGACCATAAATAAAGTTTCTATTGGATTGTGTGTTTTGTTTGCTTGTTTTGTTGAGTCTTTTTCTGCTGTTGACCACCAGCTAACATCTGTGATCTGGCTCAGGACTAATAGGTCCTTTCCCCCTTTCCAAGGGGATGGCACTTCAAGAAACTATCGGGGGGAAATTTAATGTCCGATCATTAGCTCAGTCCCAATTTAAAACACATGCTACCGACTACTAATCTGCAGAAAGACATGGGCAAAAGCTGGATATTGGTAGTACAATCTCAAAACGGTTTAAAATTTTCAACATTTTACCTTCTTAAATGACCTTACATTACTCATTAGGATCGCTGGGAAGCTGGGGCCAGTCCCTGGTGTCACTGGACAGGATGCCAGCTCACCACAGAGGACCAGCAACGTACTGGCACTGGTTAACATCCACTCACCATTCAACCAAACATGCATGTTTTGGGATGCTGGTTGGTGGTTTCCTAGAGAGAAACCACGCATGCACAGGGAGACTCCTGTGGTCAGAACACTTCACTTTTCTTTTTCTCTAACCTCATTACAGATAACAAAAACAACCTCAAATTCCTTTTTAAGGCAATTTTTAAGACAGACGGGTCTTTTCCCATCAGGCTGTGAAACTGCTTTGGTGAGGCCTCCTCTGAAGATGAGCCGTTTAGATCCAGACACTCTTGATAACTTCCAGCAAAATGATAGAAAATGTTGTTTTCATACAGCTAGATGAGTTTTAAGCAAACACAACTATTTGAATTGGGAAGAACCACAGTACTGAGACTGCCTTCTTAAAGATGTAACATGGACTTACAGAAGTTCTTGTTGTGGGTCAGAGAGCCAGGAGGCCTACCTCAGGGACACAGGTGTGTCCAGCTAACGACGCTCCAATTGTTCACACCTGTGGCCACTTACCTGGGAGGCCACTTACAGACGCTGGGCTTTAGTCAGTGCTCTGACGTACAACCCGTAGGGTAACATCAAGCCCAGTCCCTACAACTGCTGTTTGTTTGTTTTTGCATAACAATTCTGTCCTCAGACTGAGAAGTCCAGTGGACCCCAGAGATAAACAGTTCTGTGTAAGTATGGGTATGTGCTCCTCAGGAATCATATCATATCAACTGTAGGGTCCCCCAATGATCAGTTTTAGAGCCCTTGCTTTTTACTGGGTCCATGCTGACCATACACAGCCTCACATCGCCATGTCTCCTGATGACTCGGAGCCCCCTATTCTTTGTGTTTTAGATTTGAAGTTATGGATGGCAGAGGACTTCTTGCAGCTTAACCAGACTGAAGTTTGGTTATCATCCTGAGGACAAGACATTATTTTACCCAATTCTGGGTATCATTTTTTACTTTGAGCTGGATTTTAGTCCACTATTTATCATCTTACAGATATTTCTCCAGTCCACTCATTTCTCTCTTGCCAGCAAAGAGGTACTGATGCCAGCTTTTATCCCGGGAATAATTATTGTAATTCACTGCTCTATGGTCTTTACCAGAAGAAAAACTTAAATAAAACCTTTAGTCTCTGTAACACGTGTTCTGATGAGGACTACAGGGCAGGAACACATTACACCCGTTTCAAGAGCGCTGCATTGGCATTTCAGGATTCATTTCAAGACTGAGAAAGGTTGGTCATGGGCTTTCCTATCTATCCAAGCAGCTTAAAGATTAGTGGCCCCCGCAGACCCTGAGGTCCCCTGGTGCTGGCTGACCTTTTAGTTATTGATGAAGTTTGAATCAGAGAATCTAGTAAGACCTCATTCTATTATTGTGGTCCTCATGTGTGGAACAGCCTGCCAGAGAACCTCAGGGTGGTTGATGATTTTAAAAGGACCAACCTTTCAAACATAGCCTTATCTTTCTTATTTATCACATTTACAGACTTTTTTAATTTAGATTTTGTTGGCTCTAGTGGCCTTTAATGACAGCTTGACAGGAAGGGGGGGTAGACAGAGAGGGAGACCTGCAGGAAAGGGCCGTGGGCCGGACTCGAACCCAGGCCGCCCGCTGTAACCCTTTACAGACTTATGTGGCTCTCTGATTGCTTTGACTTGGTCTTATTGTCCAGCAGTTTTGACTCCAGTGTTTTCCTCATGGAGATCCTCCATCCCAGAGATTCTTCTGGCTCTGTCTGCAGGGTCGTTGTCATGGTGATCATCTTCATCACCAGGGGTCCATCACTGCTGCCCATGGCTGGCTGGAGTTTGGACCCTGGCCTGCCCTGATGGGGGGGGTTACTAGATGTTTACTTCCCTATCATTACCCAGTATTCAGTTGACAAGACAGTGACAAGGGGGTTATGTAGGATGTCTGTGTCACAGTCCAGTCCTCCAGCCCTCAGTGGTTCCTCTGAACCTGCCTGGCCTCCCTCAGCCACACCTGCCTCGTCACTCACTCACTCACCTGTGCACACAGCTGCCTCTCATCTCATGCAACCAGTCCAGTGCTCATGCTCAGCAGCTCCACACTGGCGCCATGTCAGACTGTCCTTGTCCATTTCCACGGTTACCTGCCTGTCCCTGATTGCCCTGCTCTCCTGGTACATCCACCCAGCCTTCTGTCCCTGACCAAGAGTCCAGCCTGTCCCCTCCTGGTTCCTGTTTACCGGTTTGTCCACTGGAGTCCACTCCACTGTACTGCAATTGGCTTCGTACACCACCCGTTATAGTATGTGTGTGTGTACGTGACTGCATGAGATGAGGTTATGATCAGGTGTGGACTAAACATTTCTTGCATCAGTTACTTGTTGGTGGGTGGGTTTTTAATGTAGTTTTTATTAGTTTTTTGTTAAAGCACTTTGTTTGGTAAGCACCAACGCCTCACAGATTTCCTGCTCTGGGATCCTGGGGGACCAGGACCTTTCTGGGTGGAGTCTGCATGTTCTCTCTGTGTCTGCATGGGTTCTCTTTGGGTTCTCCAAAATCCTCCCACTCTCCAAAAACCTGCCTGTTAGGTTAAATCAGTGCTTCTCAAATAGTGGTGCGATACCTGGGGGGGTGCGTGTGACCCTGGGGAACAGCCTTTTTTAAAAAATTTTGGCCGTACTAGCATAAAGTGTAATTGCGCATCCACTACAGTAGGGGCAGTGGCGCTCTCATCGTTACTTCAGTGCAACATTTTACGACTTAAAGACAAGAAGGCTAGCCTCGGTTAGCAGTGCTGAGTCAGCAGAAATCTCCGACTGCCTTCTGTCTGTAGCTTAACGACCCCCAACATGGAAAAGTTTTTAACGGGGATGAAAAGAAAAGCGGAGAGAGACAAAGATAACGAGACAAAAGAAAGTCACCTGAAAGCTAAGAGTTTTATATCATAGTTAATGTTGCTTAACTGAATATAAATTTGTTGTTTTTGTAGTTTAGTTATTATAATTATTAAATATTATTGATTGATTTTATTTAATTTTGCAATGGTGCAATTAGTTGGTCAAAAATGTTTACATTTTTAAAAGGATTTTTAATTTCAGGCATTGATGCACTTAAAATCTTTTCTGTTGCAGACTTAAAACACGATTTAATAAAGTTATTCTTTGTAAGTTTGACCATATGTCTTTCTTTTTTTCTTTTCATTAATGTTAATAAGGATCAAATGTTATGCAGAGATGGATAGTCAGGGTGGGGAGTGGGGGGGCGCAAATAGTTTTCTTCTTGCTAGGGGGAGCGTAACAGAAAATAATTGAGAAGCACTGGGTTAATTTGACACTGCAATTTACCATAGGAGGGACTGTGAGTGTGTGTGGTTGTGTGTCTCTGTGTGGCCCTCTGATGGACTGGATACCTGTCCAGCTGTGAGGGGCTCCAGCCCCCCCACATACCTGTAGCGAATAAGCAGTATAGAAAATTTGCTGAATTGAGAACTCTGAGCCACCAGCTGCCAGTCTGATAAATCACTCCCTAAAGGCTGAAGCTCCAACACTCATCATAAGACAGGACTGATAAGAGCGTTTTCTAAAGCAGGTGTTCCAAAACTTTCATCCCATGACCCCCAAAGTAACGGTGCAAGTGACTCGCGCCCCCCCCATTATAAACGTATATAAACATTGCACGCAATAGCGCACACACTATTGGTGTAGCCAAACACAAGCATATTGAAAATACAAAATAACATATCCATAATATTATTTTACAGCAATTTACTCATTACTTTAATTCAAACTTAACTTCACCAAATGAAATAGATGTGCAATAAGCTTGGAGCACAGCAAGTCCAATCTTGGTTCATTGTTGGAGACGCTACTCGGAGATCATCCCACACCTTAAATCGCGATCTGTATTTATTTTTAAGGTACATCAGTGCCGAGAAACTTTTTGCGCAAGTTGGTAGTGCCCAACGGCATCAGCACATCCGAAGACACTCTGGATAGCTGTGGGAAGAATGTGGTACGTAAATAAATCAAATCTTTACAAAAGCAAGTTTTATTCAAAGATATACTTTATTTAAGATATGCACCTTTCTAAGAATAAATGTAAAAATACATATCTGTGTACGGACCTCACATTAGTAACTAAAAACAGTTGAAACGGAGAGTTCAGTACTAGATTGTGTTTTTTATTGTTCTCAAGAAATTGGAAGATTACAATATAAATTAATACTCGCGAGAAAAAATAGCAAAATTAGCAAACCTTAACTTCATAAGCTTAGTTAATCGAAAAACAATAATCACACTATCTATCTATCTATCTATCTATCTATCTATCTATCTATCTATCTAATTAAGAACATGTAGGTTTTCATAACCCAGATAATACAAAGCACATTCAGAAAGTGTGAAAAACATTATTTTAAAAGAAATGAACGTTTACTAGTAAATAAACAAAGCAAAGATGACAGCATTTTTATGTTTCACACACTTGATTTTGGCAGGCACAACATTGGCAGCAGCAGCGCCAGCAGTAATGCTGGAACTGATTGAAAAGTCCACTGGGTGTCTCAGAAGCTTGTCCAATGTTCTCCACTCTTTCATTAAGGGAAGCTTGTGTACTTGATGTGATTAGATCTGACTGGAGTGTCTGACTAGCTTTTTCACTTTTCAGTGTAAAATGAACTTTTTCCTTACTGTAAAGATTCTCCAGCTCACTAAGCATTTTAACCCGAAGTTTCTGAAGCTCTACATATCTCCTATTCAGTAATTTTCTATCGCAGTCCAATTTACGTTGCGTGGAAATATGGTGCTTTTGTGCTTGTCTGCTCATTGAATTCCCTATATGTGACTGTTCTCTTTCTAGGATTGTTCTCTTGACAAAATGATTGACAACTTTTAGCTGTCTCTCAAAATTGATTTTAATTTCTTGACCCCTGTGCTTAATTTGATTGATCTCCATACGTTCAATCCTTGTGTCCCTCCAGATCTTTCGTAAGTAATCTTTATTTCCCTTGTATATAAAGTCAAAGTCATATTCTGACAACTCATACAGGGATTCATACTCACTCTTTATTCTCTCTTGTTCTTCAAACTCAGGAAGGGAATCTTCCCTGTTAAACTTAAAGCAACTGCTTTCTTCTTTTGTCAGAACATCTTCATATTTGCATTGCAAAAACTGAAGGAAAAGGTCCTCATTCTGGAACTTTTTCATTTGATTCAAATCAGTTTTTTCTTGCTCAGGCTCCTGACGCCAGTCAGTTTGTAATGCTTTGTCAGCTTTTGGAGCCCACAAACATCTCAGGATTTCTCTTTCTCTTTGTAAAGCCTCGGTGGAAGAAGCCATG